GCTTTCAACACCCTTTGTGAAGAAAACAGCTTTTTTGAAAAAAACAAACAAACACCCCAAAATCATCATCATCAACAACAAGAAAAGACCAACCAAATCCACCTCGCCCCCCCCCAAAAAAAAAGAAAAAACAAAACAAAACAAAACAACCAAAGCAACAAAAATCTGCAGACAAAGCAAGATCAAAGCCATATTTTTAAGTCTCTGCAGATTTGGGATAACTCATTGACTGTATATAACTGAAGAATTCTCTAGGGTCTGATATTTGAAAGCACCCAGTGTGCTTCATATTTCTGTAGATGTGTCAAAAAGTACAAAATCATGTCAGTACTCCAATTTATAGATAGGGCAAAAGAGACACAAAGAGTTGTGCCAGTGTGAGATGAATACTAAAACTGACTCTTTTCTTTAACGTAGACAGCAGTACAAAATAAGCAAATTAAACATGGGTTTTCTTTCAGTTAATTGTTATAAGAATTACTTGTTTTTAGAAAGCTCTTCATTTATCAGTCCAGTTTTAATCTCTTAAATTAAATCTATAATTACTTTGCATTCCAGTCTGTAGAAGAATGATAGGGAAACTCACATTTTTTGTTATGTAATTTTCTGTTTGTTAAAAAGTATACTGATCAAACCAAATATTCAATACAAATGTAGTAAATAAAAAGTACTGGCTGTTTTCAAGATAATGAACAAATTAAACAAACATGAACAAAAAAAAACTTTTAAGAAGGAAAATACTGCACTTCAATTTACTTTTGGTAATTACATTTTTATGACAAATTTTCTTAAGTGTAGACATTTTACCTACTCTGGTTTTTTACTACTTATCAATTTCAAATAATAATTTAGTAAGTCTTTGCTCCTACATCAGGCCTGCAATTTATAATGTGCTTTACAGAATCTGTTCTGAGGCATTCCCTGAAGCAAATAACCAAGTCCATCCAAATTGATTCTGCCATTGATTTCTCAGCCTGTAAATTTGTGTGGATTGCAGTGTTTTATTTGCTCCTTTGCTCTTAGCTCTACTAATGTGAATTTTCCTTTCTTCTTTCTCTATCTTTTTAATTCCTTCCCTCTTCTCTTTTACAGATGCACTGTCTCCCTTTATCCTGCTCTCTCTTTTTTTTGCTCTTTTCTTTCTTTTTTTCCCTTTTTATTTTTTTTTTCCCTTCCCTTCTGCTGCCTTCTGTCAGTCCAGGAATGTTTTCATCTCACACTCCTTTCAAATTTCTGCTTGATTTCCCCTGCTGCTCTTCTCTGTTTGTATTTTGTATAAAGCTGCAGGAGGGTATAAAAGATGCACACATGAAATTAAAGTGCTAGTACACTTTTTTAGCACCTAGAAACTTACCTTCAGCCCTATTTATCACAGAAGAAATTACAAATGGGATAAGTAGTTAAATCTGGAGGCAGAAACATGCAATTCAGAAACACTGTATGTCCGACTCTTCCTTTTTCCAGGGTAGCTACAGAGTGCCATCTATTGTCTCCAAATAAAACATTTTCATAGAACCACAGAGTATCCAAAGTTGCAAGGGACCAACAAAGATCATTGAAGTAAAACTCCTGGCCCCACGCAGGACAATCCCACGGATCAAACCGTGTGCCTGAAAGTGTTGTCCAAACACTTGAACTTTGGCAGACTTGGTGCTGTGAGCACTTCCTGGAGAGCCTGTCCCAGTGCTCAGCCACCCTCATTTTAAAATAAGTTGCCCTGAAATTACCTTGGCCTTAACTGCTGTTTTCTGCAGACAAATACACCTTCTTACTGAGTGCATTTACTGCAGGAAAACATGGTTCACATTTGAGTAACTTTTCTGTCACTTCTTACTCTCCCATCCCCGTGTCATCTTTAAGTGTTTTATTCCTTACCCCCTTTACAGCATTTATCTGCATTTTGTCTCATGTGTGTAAAACCTACATTAATAAAGATTTTTAATAAAGGCCAAGGAGTTTTTCCTAATGTTGCTCCCCACATATTCAAGAAAAATTGGAGAACTTGTTCTTAAATCTCCTTAAACATCATATTTAGAGTGGACTGTAAACTTTTATATCAGGCAATAAAATTTGTAACTTTTCATCTTCAGCTTTACCAAAGCTAGTCTTTACACTGAGTGTTGCTAAAGCACTGGCAGATAACTAATTTCTGCTTTACTCAAACCATATCCTGGATGGTGGCTGGCATTGAAGTTTGTTTGCTAAAGAAATGATTTTCCTAATTTAACTTCATGAGTTTTATATCAATTTGTGTACTTTTTTGTTATCATCATAAGTACTTTTTTTTCCATTTTCATACTGAGTACACTGTGCAAGTGGGAACAATTACATATTTTAAAAAACTTATATATTATACTAAGATTAATTGTCATATACCTTCTACTTCCTATAGTTTTTGCGGTACAGTCATGGCTAAAGGTTATTTTTGTAATGATGACAACAACACTTGTGTGATCTTGAGTTCACCTTTCAGATCCTACTGGATACTCAGATATTTAAGAAATATAAAGAAATGTTACGGATGGTCAGCCTCTATACAGCCAAGATTTGAGTAATGGCCAAAATGACCTGATTAGGCAAAAGAGTAGGAGCTGAAACTCATTGCATTCTAATCACAGCTTCTGACATTTCCCTGTTATTGTCTGAACTTCCTCTGAACATAATCATCCAAGAGCAGAATGTGAATTTTGCTGTCAAAAGGCCAAAATTATAAAACAGCACTGGCAGCATTTTAGGCATAAATCTGCTGACTTGATCAGAGACAAGGATTAATAACTGGGCCAACATTTTGTTGAGTTGCACAGCTTACTATTCCGTAGATACCCAGTTGAATTGACCTAGTTTTGCCCATAGCGCTGGCTTTCAACTATTTGATCCAGGCTGCCTGTCACATGTGAAAATAGTTTCATTTTGAACAAGATCTCTTCTGATTTCTCACCAGCAGAGCATGCAAATAGGTTGGTTAGACTTTGCTGCCTCTTTTTCCTCCATATTCAGGTAAATAATAAATGGCACTAGCTCAGCTCTTGCAAAGTATTTCTGATGTGTAGGACACAAAGATGACAAGTGTTACCGTATCATTTTGTAGATGAGGAAAGTGAAACTGGAAGAACAAATGACTTGCTGAGATCACTCAGCAACACATGGGCTAAGCAGGGAAGAGAAACCATGCTTTCAGCTTACTGTCCCAGTTCAGCTCCAACCCCCAGGGCACACTTCTAATTAAAGACCTGTTTAGACTTCCTAGATCTGGATTACATTATGTCTACTCTGCACATATCTAAGAAGGTATTAAAGGAGTTGCTACAAGGCAAATCAACAGCCATTATCCAAAAGAAAAGAAACTCTGACTTTATTTTCTGATTGTTAAAATTACTTCAAGAATACACGAACTCAAAACAATATATCTTTTTCTCACAGCTGTATTTTAAAAAGTTTGTATTCTGACTTCACACTGTTAAAAAAAGAGGGTAGGATTAATACCTTGCTTTAGCTTTTTCTTTCAAAAATATTCAGCTTCAGATTAACGTTCTGGAAAGTTGAGATATTATATCAAGATCATGATATGGGGATACAATTTGAACATTAGCACTGGGCAAAGATGAACAAATGCCTACTGATTTCAGAAGTATTGTGTTAGGATAAACTCTCCATGTCAGGATAAAGTCTACATATGTACAACCATAAGATTTAATTCGCAGCAAATAAAGCATCCCTTGATTAATCTCTTCTCTCTTTTTTTTTTTTTCTTTAAAATTAAAATGGAAATGAAAAAGCCATTTGTGTGATGTAGGACAGCCATATAGTATGAAGGAAATATTGAATCTTTTATACAAAAAGCATTCTGGAAAATTTTGCTGTGTATGGTGTGTATTTGTGTTGCTGGTAACTTTTATTTGTAAAAGTAGAGAATTTGAAAAAATAAAGAATGAGCAGAACACCCTATTTCTCTGGGAGGAGTCACAGACAACATGTATGTTTTTGGGAGCACTTGCAGGGCTGGGCTTAAAATTTACACGTATTAATATAACAGCATTTACACTTTTTCTAAAACTTAAATTGTTAGAGATTTGAAACAGAGTAAGTACCAACAAATGTAGCAGGTGTGTGCATATAGGAGTGTGTGTGCTTATGTTTCCAAGGGAAAGCCAGATCTGAGGCCTCATATGTAAAGTTTGAGAATAGGAATACTTGGGACTCTTTCTCAAGGATGATTGCTTAGGGAAGTTATTTCTTTCTGGACATAAGTTTTCCCATCAGTAAAATGCACGTTATGTTTACATCCATTGGGGCATATTTTCAATTTACAAAAGAAAAGTGCTGTATGAGATGTACCTGTTATTATTTATTGATTTCTATCATAATTAATAACATTTTCAACAAGTACGGCAATATCAGGTATCCCTTGGGCTGGTTCAGTGATAAAGCTACAATGCACTTTACAATTGTAAGCTCCTGAGAATGTCAAAACAGAGTTTTTAATGAGATTCTGCTGTATTAGCTTGATCATATAACTGTTATTTGCTCTAAATCTGTCAGGATCAAACACAGCTGCCACTGCTTTGCCTGGAATTTTAAGTTTTTTCTTTGTTCATTTGTTTAAAAAGCAAAACTAGAACTAAAATAAGAAGGTATCATATGAAGACTAATTCTCATTCTATATATAGTATTGCTATAAATTAGATTATTAAATATATTCACTGTTTTATTTTTTTTTTTAATAAATCTGTCACTTAAAATAGTGAAGATGACTGCAATGGGATGGAATTAACAGAGCTGTTTGGATTCAACCATGAGGAAAAAAAATAAAATAATGCTGGTTGATTCCTACCTCATCTGTTCACCAGTTAACATATTTATATAATTTGTTAAATGGTTTCTTTAGGCATTAACAGGCCACTGTGTCTTAAGCAAAATATATTATGTTTAAGATGCTATGAAAAATACATACACAGTAAGAGGTTTAAATGGATAAACATTATCATTTTGTTTCTAAACAGAGAGCCTCGAAAAATCATCCTGCACAAGGGCTCCACAGGACTTGGTTTCAACATTGTGGGAGGTGAAGATGGGGAAGGCATTTTCGTGTCTTTCATCCTAGCAGGTGGGCCTGCAGATCTCAGTGGAGAACTGCAGCGAGGAGATCAAATTTTATCTGTAAGTATTTCTGTTGGGCTTTCCTGACCAAATTTTTTTTCTATACTGCAAGGGACACACAAAGAAGTCTATTTCGTTCCCATTTTTTGAAAGCCAAGCTTAAAAAAATTTATTCCTGAATATTTTGGTCATTTTTTTCTTGGTTGTTATAGCATTTTTCAATGGTTACTTGAAATTAACTCAAAATGAGACTTTTCACTGCTTAATGCTATCTACAATATGATGACTCTGCAGAGAGAACCTAAGCACAGTGCAGACCTAAGCATCAACCAGTTTGGCCCACCATCCAGTTCCACTTTTCCCAAAACACATTACTGAGTCCAAAGATATTTCTCAATTTCAGATTTTCTTGGAGGAGAACAAACAGTACATCGAAATCATCTGTGCTGGGGCTGCCATCTAGTGTGCACTAAACTGCTCAACAGGCAGCTCAATATAAGAAGGAGATTAATTAGGTTATGTTAATTGTCTCTTTTCCTCTAATGAATCTGATGATCCCTCTGAAATTCTTTTTCAAATTTTAGAGGATAAAAGGCTTTGTAGCCTGAGGTTATATTTTGCATACTTAGTCTCAACAACATCCTTTAAGATTTTCTTTCATGTATATATTGATGCCAAGCATTTAAAAACCAGAACATTTATGTTTCAGGCCCTGTCAAGTAATTGAACATATGACTGAAACAATATGAATGTAAAGGATTTTGCATGACAATGAAAGCCTTGAAAATGTAGTTAGATATCCATTCGCATTGTGCTGCCTTACAGAAAAATAAACTATCCCAAATCTATACAGTTGTGACTGTTTCATGCAAAGCACATCAATAACCTTAACGCAAAGAGCTGAAACATGGGAATTATTTATCTCACGAGTGATGGACCCACTAGGCTGCAGTGTCACACTGCCTCCCAGTGTCATGCTTCCTCTCCCTGTGAATCCTGCATACTTGTCTGCACTTTGGTTATAGTTAAGAGTGGATGTGGTTATGCAGCACTTTCCTGATCAATGTTTAAATTCATAAGAAAGCTGGATATGGTTTTCCTATATTGCTAAGGAGTGACTGGGCCTATTCTATGAAAAGTGAAATTACCTTCCAAGTGAAATTACACCACCAAGTTTTGGTGTAAAAAGATGGCTGGAACTGTTTTGCAATACAAAGAGAATCCGGTAAGTTATCACTAAAGAGATGCAATAACATGACCTGATGATTGGAACAGTGTGTTATATCTAGACCTGTTCCTTAGAGCTGCTAAAAGAAACTACGATAAAGTTCAAGTAAAAGGTGTTTAGGTGCCTGTGTGAGTTGACACAGGCAGGCAGCTGGAGCAAGCACAAAACCATGGCTGAAATGCAAAGAGGACATTTATTTCATTACCTCGCTAACTGGAGGGTCCTGAAGCAACACCCCGGTGGAGACACATAAGCAGGAACACATAAGCACTGTTAGGCTCTGTCCATCATTGTGGGCAGTGGGCCTGCTGTTTGCACTAATTTATCAAGGACCTGTACACTTGTAGTTTAGAACCATGCTGTGATCTCCCCTGTGCTTTTTTATGATCTCTGGACTTTAATCTTCTTTCTCCCTAAACAGGGAGCTCAAGCATGTCCATGAGAGTGGGTCCAAGTCTCTCTAAACACTTATGTTATCTCTGCATGGAAATTCTACTTCTCAAAACAGACAGAGGATAAACAGCAGTAGGCGTAATATATGAGGTTTCCCACACTGTTATTCTCCAGGCCTTGGCATTCCCAACTGCAAAGTCACTTGAACCAATCCACCATCCTCCTTGCTATTCTTTCACTTTTAACCCTGTCCTCCCAACAGTGCCTTAAAGAGTTCTTCAAGTAGAAAGTTTTTAGGAAGCTGCAAGAAGACCAAAATAGACACTTATAAAGTTATCAATATGAAGAGATAAGGAAGTCGAAGACCTGTGCCAAGAAGAGCACAGACAAGAAACTCAAAGAATAAAAATAGAAATTTCTTTAGGACAAATACACACTCTATTTTTCTTTGGTTAGATGCAGCAAAATAGGACTGACTGACAGAACACTATGAGATCAAAGCCTTTTACAGTACATTGTATTCAAATGAACTTCAAAGAAGTTCAAATTTAAAAGTCCATTTTCCTTTATTTTTAAGCAAGATATATTTAACACTGTAGAATACATCAGCAGTTGAAATTTTAAACTCTGATTTTTTGTCTGTCTCATAGTGATGTTTTCCATAAGTTCTAATTAATATTACCAGTGTTGCATCATTATTTACTTGTCATGCAAGACTTGTTTATTTGTTGATTGAGCAGAGAGGGATGGAAACTATTACAAATTAGACTGCGTACATATCCCCAGGCACTCCCCCAGTCAGGCCCCTTATTTAGTCACAAATAACTATTATGGATCCATTTTTCTATATTTAACCAAAACCTGTTTCATGAACAGACTCCATTTATAGCTCATTAATCTTATACCATTGTCTAGTGAAGGGTCCCAGACACCTTAATTTCATAAGGGCAGCACAGAAAAGGTCTGTTTCTCTCTGTTTGTTCCTTCTCGTCTCATCCCTCAGAAACATTTATTTCCCCACAGAAATAGTTTTCCCATTCGTTTCTCAAAGCATGACAAATCTGATTTACAAGAACAAATGGTATCCTTACAGCTGCTATTTCCAATTAACTGAAGCTTGGTTAAATTTATTACAGATAGGAAGCATAGTAAGTGATTTTAACTTTAGAGATCTGGATTTAATTTCTCATAAAATTGGTATTGCAGAATTATAATGAAACCACAGGAGTTGTATTGTGATATTTTATATATTGTTAAAACCTGCTATGATCTGCTTTCTGGCCAACCCCTCTAATCTTTATTCTCTTTCAGAATGCTACTTCCTTCATTGCTTTTTTTGTCCCTGCCCATTGCAAGGGAGTTGAACTAGATGACTTTTAAAGGATCCTTCTAACCCAAACAGTTCTATGATTCTGTTTAATCCTCTAATTTAGCCAGTGTCCTTCTCTGTGACCTTAGGCAAGGTGCTTCATTTTTCTAAGTTTCCCAGGTGAACAGTGAGGATCACAGCACTTTCCTAATTCATGCCTGTGCTGTAATTATGGAAAAGTGTTGACTGGTTGAGAGCTGTCTATGCTCACCTCTGGGAACATATATATAAAAATACCTAAAATAGACTGCAAATACTGGTGAGACCCAGCAAAGATCTGCCTTTATATGCATTACCTTTGAGTGATACACTGGATATATACAGTCCCACAATATACGTAGCCCAAAAGGCTTGGACAATCCCATAACTTATGTCTCAACTTCTGCCTGACTGCTGGGATGTGACGGGGAGGGTCCAAGCCTTCAGCCCGCCAGGGGCACTGGGAGCAGCCCTGGCCCCATGGACGAGTGAAACTTGAATTTGTTTTTCCCAGATACCACCAGGCGGCAGCCCAGGATCAGTAATAATAGCGGTCTGCCTCTGGAAACTGGCTAGAACCTTAGGAAAAGCAGCAACAACTGGATTTTTTTTCCATTTTCAGTTAATTGATTGGAAATGTTTGAAACTTATCTCAGAAAGCAGACTGATATTCTTAATGCGTCTGTGCAGAGAGACAAAATGAATCCTATCAGAACCTCGAAGGTCAATTGAAGAATAATGGAAAATGTTCTGTGTCAAATAGTTAAAAGGATTCAAATAGCACAAAAATGAATTGTAATGTTACATTCATAAGAAGACAGTTTTCCCCCCCCAAAATGTAAGATTTTTTTTAAATGCTATGGTTTTTTGCTATAATTCAGTATGCTCTTTTGAATTGCCACCAAACTAAACATTTTTCTTCTCATTTCTGAATGTCTTCAAAATGTAGTAATACATGCATCATCAATGTACACTAATAACAGAATATATCACTCCCTACACTATTTCCTCTATTAAGTATATTGTAACTATTATCAAGGGGCATTTTGAATTCTGATTGACATCAATGCTTGATTTATTACTTTTAATCCAAAGGAAACAGTTTATAATATCAATGGAAGAATTTATTTCAATTTAGAGCAGTGGAAACGAGGTGCCAGCATGTTAAATGATTTGTATAAAATCATTTTAGAAGTCTGAGCCAAGTCTAGACTTAGAGGCTGCCTGAACTCAGATCTAACCCTGAGTTCTCCATCTGTTAGGAAAATGCAGTCTTCAATAAAAATAAAATGTAATGTTCTCTGATGCCTTTCTTGCATATTTAAGTTCCACTTCCAATGCTAAGGAATATATTGCCTATTAAAACAGCAATGGGAATCCAGTGTTGGTTAGTTAAAGTCACCTGCATGAGAACAAATTATTTCCATGAGCCATATGCATAAAATGTCCATAATTGTGCATACGCTCTGAGAGAAAGCAGTACTAATGTTATAATTTTAGGAAAGAGGTACATAGTGAATACACTGCAATTTTTAGGGGAAATTCCTGGGGAGGCAGGAGAAGCAATATGGTCCTTCTCAAAGAAAAATTGCCACTTCATTTTTTGCCTCACAATCTCAAATCAAAATCATAATAAAACATAACTCCTTCTTTTAGGTGTCTTAACTTGAATCTTTCAAAGCACCTTCAGTGCCAAGTGAGCAACTCTTTCGATAGGTATAGGACCTGAAGCACAGAGAATTAGTTTACGCGTGCAAATTCAGCAGCAAAATTCAGATTTACAATCTCACACAAATAATTAGTGCATATTTCTCCTCGAATTCCTACGCCAAAATTTCTTTTCAAACAGTTTTATAATTTTCTACAAGGCTGCATCAAGGTGAAATTGTATACAAATGAGCTAACTGAGGGGAATTAATAGCCTTAAGGAGTTAACAGTGAGTATTAGCACTTGAATCTTAACTTTTGAAATTACTGAATTTTAGGTCTTTGGACAAGATTAAACCTCAGACTAAGATACTTAAATTTAAACATGTACATGTTTGCTGGGTGTCTGCTTGCCATTAAAGTCAGTGTAGGCTAGGGAACAGT